TTTTGCTGACCAGTTCAGTTAATGGTTTATCAGTTTCATTGATCTTTTCAAAGAAACTGCTTTTGGTTTCATAGGTTTTCTCCATTGTTTTTCTGATTTTAATCTCACTGATTTCTGCTCTTATCTCTATTTTTTCCTTCCTTATGCTTGTTTTGAGTTTAGTTCACACTTTCTAGTTTCTTCAAGGAGAAACTTAGATTATTGGTTGTAAGTTTTTGTTTTCTAATATAAGCATTTAAAGCTATAAATTTCTCTGACACCCCTGTTTTTGCATCCCTTTTATTTTAGCTTTCCATTTTTCACTTCATTCTACCTTCTGAAATATATTGATACCAGTTAATGGTTTTTTAAAAGTTTGAATTAGGATTGATTATGATAATGGGGGAAAGCATAGTTTTTTCAGCCAGTGGTTTGGGGACAACTGTATGTCCACATGCAGAAGAATGAAGTGACCGCTTTCTCACACCAAATACAAAATTAACTCAAACTACATAAAAAACCTGAGTATAAGAGCTGAAAACATAGGCATAAAACTTTTTTGACTTTGGATGAGGCGTAACCTTAGATGTGACAGCAAATGTGCAAGCAACAAAAGAAAAAAGTAGTTAAATAAGAAGCAAACTTTTGTGCTGCTGAGGACACCATCAAGAAAGTGATAAGACAACCCACAGAATGGGAGAAATTTTTGCAAATTATATATCTGTTAATAGAATTGTATCTAAAACATAAAGAACTCAGCAATGAAATGGCAAATAACCCAATTAAAAATGGACAAAGACTCTGAATAGACATTTCTCCAAAGAAAATATATAAACAGCCAATAAGCACATGAACTGATGATGCTCAGCATCATTAACTATCAGGAAAATGCAAATCAAAACCAGTGAGATAGTACTTCACACTCACTGGGATGACTGTAATAAAAAAAGAGAGATAATAAGAACTATGGGCAAGGATGTAGAGAAGTTGGAACCCTCATGCCCTGCTGGTGGGAATGTAAAATGGTGCAGCAGCTTGGGAAAACAGTCTGGCACAGAGTTCCTCAAAAGATTTAACATAAAGTAACTATACAGCCCAGCAACTCCACTCTTAGGTGTATTATACCCAAGAGAAATGAAAACATGTCCACATAAAACCTGTACACAAATGTTCATAACACCACCATTCACAATTGTCAAAAGTGGAAACAACCCAAATTACCATCAACTGGTGATTAGATAAATAAGATGTGGTATATCCATACAATGGAATATTATTTGACAAAAAGGAATGAAGTACTGGTACATGCTACACGTGTGAACTTTGAAATTATTATGCTACATGAGACAAGCTAGTCAGAACAGACCACATATGTATTGTATTATCCCATTTATATGAAATGTCACAGAATAGGCACACCTAGAGAGAGACAGAGTAAATCAGTGGTTGCCTAGGGCTGTGAGTGGGGTGGGAGGAGGAAAGGAGAGTGACTGTTAAAGGGCTCGGGGTTACTTTTTGGGGTGATAAAAATGTTCTAGAAGTGATTGTAGTGATGGGTGCACAATTGTGACTATACTAAAAACCAATTGTACACTTAAAATGGGTGAATTACATCTCACTAGAACTGATATATATTTTTTAAATGTCACCTGTGGTATTTATCCTTATTAGGAGGTAGTTTAGATCTCTGGATTAAGAACATCTGGTATCAAATTTTGGTTCTACCACTTACTCCCTGTGTGACTTCTTAGTTTATTTGTAAAGTGGGTATGATAGTCTCAGGGTTGTTAGGATCAAATGAGATATCTTGTACATACGTGTAAAGCAGTTAGCAAAAGGCCTAGTACCAAATAAATACTTAGCTAATGTTTGGTATTATTGTTGTTAGTAAAATTCTAGCTGGTATTTGCAGAATTATTTAGACTTCTGTTCACTATAACATAGCCATTTGAAATGGACCATCAGAAAATTTTTCTTTCAAAATACAATTTCTTCTAATATTTGCCATAAAATTCTCTCTCTTTTTAGGACAGATTCATCTGGCAAATTATTATTAGCCTGTGGTCAAAGAGTCAAAGTATATCAAGTCCTCCTCACTCCCAAACATAAACCTATACCCTCCAAAAATTGGAAAACAACATACTTCTCTTACTTTGTCCAAGTCTACCCTAACAGATAGATGGTTATATCTATATTTGAACAGAAATATTTTCCAGTATAACTAAATGAGACTATTAATATTCCTATTCTTTATTTTTGGAAAGGTATTTTAAAATTAATTTGCTTATAATATAGTAAGTTTCCTTGCAGGTCTTTATGCAGAGATAAATGCAGAAGATGAATGGCAAATTCAGTTTTAATAACTTTAATAAGTTATCCTTTAACTTATAGTGTTCAGTTTTGCTTGTGTTTGAGCTTTATAAAAATGGAATGCTGTATAGGTTCTCCTTGACTTGCTTCTTTTATCAGTATTCTCAGATTCATTCATATTGATGGGTTCAACTATAGTTTGTTCATTTTTACTGCTGCATAGTGCTCTATTGTATCATTTTAGTATAATTCACCCATTGTTCTCCTGATGTACTTTTGGGTAGTTTCCAGTTTTTTGGACATAAGGAAGAATGTAGCTATAAATATTAATACACATGTCTTTTGGTGTATATGTGTAATGGAATTATTGATATGTGATATAGAAATTTTAATACACTGTGATTCTTAAATGACTATATAAGTTATTATATACAGCCTAAATGATTATGCTTAAAGGGATCACAACACTTAAAAGTATTTGCATTGTTTTGGTTTTTTTTAGATTTTTTTATTTTTAATTGGAGAATTGGGGGAGGGAACGGTGTTGGGGAATCGGGGAAGGGGAACAGACAAGTTGCTGTCCTTATGTTCTTCAGTCTAGTTGCGGAGGACGTCACTTCACTGGCCCATGTTGGTATTATGATCATTGCGCTCTTCCCAGGTGAGGCAGTCAATTGCTGGCCATTGTATGGCGGCTCACGGTGGCTCACGGCAGCTCACAAAAGCTCACGCCAGCTGCCGTCCAGCCCCATTGCAGCCTAGGCCATCGCCGGCGACTCACCACAGCCCAGCTCCAGGTCGAGCTGTTGTTCACCATCTTAGCTGTAGAGGGTGCAGCGTCACTGGCCCTAATGTGGGATCCAACCCAGCACCCTGCTGCTTAGAGCCGGCGCTGTCAAGCCAAATCAACCAACGCACCACTCGGCTGGCCCTGCATTGATTTTTAAATACATACTTTAAAGTTTTTTAAAAATGTAAAAAGCCTACAAACTGTAGAAGTGGGAAATAGACCTATAATTTTAAAATATCTGTCTTATAAAAACATGTTTGGTATGATTGTGATTAATAGTACTTAGATTTGTTTCCTGCTATTTTACTATCATGCACATTTTACTGTATATATGAGGCATCATATTTCTCTTATTTATGTCAGTTTTAATAGCTGCATATTATTTCCATCAAATAGATAGACCATAATTTTCTTAATCATTCTCTTCTTGTTGAAAGCTTAGATGGTTTCCAGTGTTTTACTGTAAACAGTACTGTGATGAACATGTGTGGGACTGTGATTCTTTCCAGGGATAGCCAAGGGAAAGCATCACAGCAGCCTGGAAACAATTACAAAACCTTTTTTATCTAATAGAGGAATTAACTATTGATTGTCTGACTTATGTTAGGCACTGTGGTATGTGCTTTGCATGTTTTCTCATTTAATCCTCAATCAGTGAAATGAGTACTATACCTGTCACTATACTTATCTGATTGAATTATGATGATTTGTTTGTTTTGGTCTCCTAAGAATTACATTTTATTTTTGAGTCTTCAGGGTTTATTCTAGTTCCTGGCACATGTGAGTGTAATAGATGTTATCTATGAAAATGAATGTTTAAAACCTTTGCCCTAAGTGGATCCCTGACCTTACCATTCAGAATTCTCTTTGCTCCCTTTGTTTCCTGAGCCGTGGTTTACAGATCTCTGAGGTAGTAGGGGATTAGTAGACAGTAAGCTGATTTCAGGGTTGTGCCCTAAAAGGTGCTATTTAGACCACATTTCTGATTTTAATTTTTGTATGTCTGTTTTTTGCCAGTTGTCTGCCAAAAATGTGCCAAGAAGAAATACTAGTTGAATTTTTATTAATTGAAACTTCACTTACCATTGAAATGAATATTTATTTGAAATTACTGTATATTATTTATTCATCTGCAATTTAGTTCTTTTCTCTGATTATTTGGAATATGCACAATGACATACATTAGAGCCATTCAGTAGTTTTTTTCAGAGGACTGAAGAAATAGTCTTAATAACCTATAAAACTGGAGAAGATCTGAATGCCCACAAAGCATTCCAGAGTTCACTCATCCTCCCCCCTCTGAATTTGTATAGTGCTTATTAATGATTTCATTTCATTTTTAACTAGCTTGCTTTTGCCTTTATATTTTTGCCATAAATATACCCATATGCACCATATACTGATTAAAAGTTCTCTACTTCATCTTTTTTTAACATAGAAAATCTATGATTTCATAAAATTTGAAAACCCTTATTTTCACGTACTTGGAGTATAGAGTGACGAATTTAAATGTAAGGATATTGAATAGTTTTTATCATTTAGCCATAATTGCTTTATATATCTCTACAAATACATAGGTAATATATGTATATATTTTGCTGAGCCATTTGAGGATTAATTGAATGTGACATTTTGCTTTTAAATATTCAACAAGTATCTTTCAAAAATAAGGACATTCTCCTATATAAGCACAATGCAAAAATGATATATCTTTTTAAACATCAGCTGGGGAACTATTTGAAGTTCTATAGTGATGTTTCTTTTGTATCATAGTATTAAATTTCATTAATAAGTATGTAAATTATTTTCTAATTTATTTTAAAAGCTATCTGTAAATTATTGAAAATTCACTATTTTACCTATAATTACCTTTACCTGTTAAGTAAGATTTTAATGCTAAATATCTTTTTTCCTTCTTCAGGTATGGCTGATGGCCAGCATTGTACTTTTCCACATCTGCCTGGCAAAACCTTTGTCTATAATGCTTCTGAAGATAGACTGGAGTTGTGTGTGGATGCTGCAGGACATTTCCCCATCGGTCCTGATGTTGAAGACTTAGTTAAAGAGGCTGTAAGTCAGGTTCGAGCTGAGGCTACTACAAGAAGTAGGGAGTCAAGTCCCTCACATGGGGTACTGAAACTAGGTAGTGGTGGAGTAGTGAAAAAGAAATCTGAGCAACTCCATAATGTAACTGCCTTTCAGGGAAAAGGGCATTCTCTAGGAACTGCATCCAGTAACCCACACCTGGATCCAAGAGCTAGGGAAACCCCAGCTGTAAGGAAGCATAACACAGGGACAGACTTTAGTACTAGTTCCACTAAACCAGAGCCTTCTGTATTCACAGCTGCTCCTAGTAACAGTGAGCTTATTCGAATAGCTCCTGGAGTAGTTACAATGAGAGACAGCAGGCAGCTTGATCCTGATTTGGTTGAGGCCCAGCGAAAAAAATTGCAGGAAATGGTTTCTTCTATTCAGGCTTCAATGGACAAGCACTTGCGGGATCAAAGTACAGAGCAGTCACCATCTGATCTTCCTCAAAGAAAGGGAGAAGTTGTGAGTTCTGTGAAGTCTGGGACTCTTCAGACTGGCTTAGCTGAATCTTTTTCTTTAACTGGTGGCACTGAAAATTTGAATACAGAAACAACTGATAGCTGTGTGGCAGAGGCACTGGGAGCAGCATTTGCCACAAGGTCAAAAGTACAAAAGGGAAATTCCGTGGAGGAGCCTGAAGAGATGGATAGTCAAGATGCTGAGATGACAAACACAACTGAGCCAATGGATCACTCTTGATTGAATTAGAGGCTAATAAAGGCAGAATGTTTATTGTGAATATGTAATATTTGTTGGCTGGGCCACATAACTTGATTAGTCATTAAAAATCTTGTACGTATATAATTCAAAGATTATATCTTGTTATTCAGTGCATGACAGCAAGTGTGTGATTGGCAATAGCTTTTAATATACTGCTGCCCAGCCTGGCTCTGAATTCCTATAAATTAGTTACTAGATCTGCTGAGATGAGTTTCTTCCATATATGTGGTTAATTGGAAGTTCATGTAATTTTAATTTCATGAAAGTCTTAATGTTTCAAACACGAAAATTCTCTTGCTAAATATGTTTGATTTCTGAAAAGGCTAGAACTGGAAGGGAATGAGATTTTGCTACTGTTGATGTCATCAAGGTAACCACCCCACATATTTACTAGAATGTCAAAGATATATGTAAATTTGAAGGTTATCTGAACTAAATTATATCTTAAAATTCATAAAAGGATTTATTAGACACTGGTATCCTGACATTTCTGTGAATGTAAACACATTCATAGAGATACATATTCTTGGTGAAAATAATCTTGAGAATAGAGTGTAATGATAAAATATTTTGCTGATATGAGCAAGATTAAGGGTAAAATATCTATTCTAGAATGATAAAGTCAATGTGATTCAGTAATGTTGCCATCTGAGCCAACATAGCCAATTGTGTGCTCTGTTGTTGATAATATGTTACCATTATTTTTTTAATCCTGGCCTGGTCAAGTACCACTGAGTTGTTTTTTAGTTTGTTTATTTTGTTTTTTTCCTTTAATCTTGCAGAAGAAAAGTTGATTGCAAAGCGTGGTAGAAAATACAAAAATAATGGTAGCAGTAGTTAATCTCTAATTTTGAGTTTGTCTGATTCACAGAAAATATATAAATAAGAATTTATCTTTATGAATGAGTTACATTGTTCCACGATTTTGATCAATGGTATTTAAGCTTGTACATGCTAAGTGTCTTTGACCCCCTTTGAACCAAAACTATTTCCTTTTTTCTTTGAGTCCATAAGGTTTTCTTTATTTGTTGGCTTCACTTGGATTTGGATGCAAATTTTACTGCATCATACCCTGATTAACGGGGCATTTGCTTAAATAGTGTATTCATCAAATCTTTAGTGCCAGTATCCTCAAGCAGCAGCTTTCATGCTTATTCCTTAAAGACAAAGAATGTTTAGCCTGAGATTGGTATTTGCACTATTTTATCCTATTCTGCAAATCTGTATTCTGAAATGTACATTTCAATCCATCTTTTTCCTCTGTTCACTGAAATTAAGTTGAATTTGAATGGATGAAAGACAAAATATATGTTAATACACTCTCTTATCTAGTGCATTAAAAGCCTGGCTGTCTCTGTTTGCACATATAACAGATGCAGAACTCTGCATTCTAAGAAAATGTAGCAGAAAGGTGTTTAAAAATCTCAACCTGCTGATTCATAAGGAATATAGACAGTACTTTAATTCATTTCCAAATAAGGGAGGTTTTGGTTTTCTTTCTGTGAAAGTATCTCTCACTGAATCCACTTACTAAATGGAACTAGTCCATTTTGAATAAGGAAGGAATGGAGAATCTAGACATTTGCAGGTGGTATCTGAACAAGATATATATTTGAGTTTTATCACATTTTTTAAACCATACTTCATCTCCATTCTTCTAAATTTCAAGTATCTTTCTCTATATCTAAATAGGAAAATGTACAACTTTTATATTGTGCTCTAGTTTTGCATAAAGAACTGCAGTACCTAATAATATTTCCTATTTCATTAGTATAGGTGACTCTTGTGTATTTAACTAAAAATTACAAATATCACTAACCACTATAATTGTTTTTGGCTTTTTCAGCCACTGAAACATGCTCCCCCCCCCCTTTTTTTTTTTTTTTTAGTTTAAACACAAGAAAACTTTAACGAGCAAATGCACTGCTTTTAGGTAAATAATCACCTTTAACAAATATTTTCTTCACCTGTGGCTTGGTATGTTGAGTAAACAACTGACAAATATACTCTCATAGCATAAAGTAAAAATATCAGAAACAAATTCAATCTCCCTATTATATATTAAATATTTTCATTTAGTCAAATTAGAATGTACCTGGGAACATTTAGAAGACGGGCTTAACCTCTGACAACGCTATTAATTTCTCTCACCACAGCAATGCTATTTAGGAGTCAATAATATATGAATATTTATTATAGTTTGGGTTCTCCCTTAATAAAGAAAACAGGCCTGATTCTGAGAATGATTAGATTTCTTGAAATTATTTTAAAGTTGCTGAAATTTGGTTGGGGTAATTAATGGTTTTTGAGAGGTTCTTCTTTTCGAAGAAGTTTTAGAACACAATTTAAGTTCTTAAATATCATCGTTTGTTCTTCCATATGGTTATCATAATCAAATGCAGCACTAAAAAATTATTATTTAGCACTGCTATTTGTGATCACAACTTTGAGTCCAAACTAGAGATCATAAATCAGTTAAAATATTTTTAGCCCTAGGTGTAACATAACTACAATTCAATCCTATAATTAAATTCTGTTTGCAGTGTTTCACTAAAAATTGAAGTAAAATTGTAAATTCTTCAGTAATCCATTTTATAGTTTTAATCATACCAAGTATGAATTGAAGATGGTGTATGTCTAGAATACTGGTAATGAGAAACTGGTTGAGACCGAAGAAAAACAAGACAACTGCCAAATAAAAGCGGGAATACAATGAATTCCAAGGATGTGGTTACTCAGGAACTAGTTAAAAAGCAAGCCTAAGGTCCATTTCCCCCTTCTTTCACTATGTTTCAGGTGTTTTATTGGAAAATGTTAGGATAATGACCTGAGAAATTTAGCAAATGCTATTGACTAAAATTTGCTTTATATCTTCTGATGATTTTTAGTTAGGTTTTACAGTCAAACCTGCTGCTTGCAATTAAGATATCAATCTGAAATACATCTGTGATTCCGAGCCACAGGTCCTTACTGCCATTATTTTTTAGTAACTTCATTGGAAATGAGCAGACATTTGCATATGGTCTCTTACCTCAGGGAAGATCACTTGCTAGCAACTCACATACTACTAATGACAGGTTTTTGACAATTGTACTGACATCACATGTTACTACTAAGTGCAAAGTTTATAAAAAGTATTTCAAACAGTTACCTAATACTGGCTGCTAGTGAATATTTCTCCAAAAATTTAGACCTCAGTAATATCTTCAGATATGAAATAAACTTGTAACTTCTGTCATTATGCTTAAGTCAATATAATGACAATATCATAAAATGTTTATTTCAGAATATCAGTACAGTTTTGTCTTCATTTTCAACAGGAATTTTAATTGGCCCACAGTTAAAATACTGCAGAGCACATTTTGAGAGTTTCATGGTTTTCCAAACAAGGTTTCCATATTAAGATTTTCATAAAAGCCTTTGCAACATTGAATTTAAAATGAACTTTTTAATAGTAGTAGATACATGCTCTTAAGTAACTTGGGAAGACATATCCTATATTTCAAGGTTACTATATAACTTTAACAAAATTGTTCAACCTCAAGGCTCTTCATAATTAAAAAATCAATTTTTTAAGCCAGAATTATTCACTTGAAAACATACCATAGTAGAATGTTTACTTAAATAACAAATGGAAGCTATATCACCCATGTAAGAGTTATAGTTAATTGTAAATTCTGCGATTCTTAATAGAATTCTGAGATGCTGTTTCAATTCCTATTTAATACTTATTAAAATCGTGGGAATTTTAACGTTTGTTCCAAATAGCAGAAATTGTAAAAATTGTGAATTATTGGAGAAAATGCCATTACTTGTATATTTGACATTTAATTTTTTAAATTATGGCGTTATATGCTTTTGTAGTATAATACTAAAACAATGATTTTCTCTTGTAAAAGAAAGGAAAACTAAAAAAAGTTTTAGTTAATGTTATCTGCTTGTGAGTATCAATTACTTAGTATTTAAATTTTTAAGGTATTGCATACTTCTTTTTAGAATGCACAGGTCCCTTCCTGAGCCTTTATGCCTGTGGTAGAGCAATAAAAGAATGAAAAAGTTTTCAGTATTTTTAGGTTTATTTGACTTTAAGAATTAGTGCCAAGAGCTGAAGAGTCTACTTTTTGAAGGGAAATGTTATTTAGAATATGTAAAACTAAGGGGTAATAGTGTAAATATTTGGGAAAAATAGCAAGTGCTTTAATTGCTCAATAAAATAGTATAGATGTTACATCATCCCTAAGGCACTGGCTGTTACCCATTATTTTTTTATTTTGTGAGTGCTGTATATATTAGAGTAATTCTTGGTAATAGTGTATTATAACTGTATAGTGTTCTACAGCACACCTTACTGTACAGTATTTGAAATTTTCTTTTATATCGATAATAAAATATAATACATACAGATTTTCCCCTCAGCTTCTCCACATTAGCTTTATAAAGTTATTTTTTATTTAGTTTCCTGGAATTACACCTTCATGTTATAATGCATGAAAATATAGTTCAATTTTATAAAAGAATTCTTAGTGTAATAAAGTTTTTTTAAAAACTTCTTTAAGCAGGATATCATATAGGGACAATAGTTTCTCCCCTTAATGCAGATTTCAATGCAAATGAAATGGATCCAATTAGAGTAAGCAAAATTTCTTTAAACATATTACATAGTTGAGTCATGTAATGCTTACTGAGTAAAGACAAAGATATGTTCTAATAAAGATGATTTGGTTTTGTGCTGGTTCTTAAAAAAATGCTGGTTAGAAATAATGCAGAAATGAAGGGAAATATAGAAAATAGTACTAAATCACATTTGTGCAGTTTAGGAATCAATATGACATGTTTACTTTTAAATTTTAATATATATACTTAGGATTCATTGTGTTAGACTGTTTAACTTAATAGTTAGTGCACAGCCTCTGACTACTTTAAATCTAGACACCAGACTTACTAGATCTGAGTCCTGGCACATCGCTTACTGTGTGACCTCTCTCTACTTCACTTATCTGAGAGGATGATCCTGACATCTGGGGTTACTGTGCGGATTAAATGAATGAATACATGTCAGATGATTAAAACAGTGCCTGACATAGTAAACATTCAAATGTTTGATACTGTTGATATTATATATAAGAATAATTCAGTAGAATTTAGTTTCCATTTAAGTGAGATAAATCCTCATAGGGCACACATTTAAATTGTTGAATTAAGTTAAAACTTGCTTTATTTGTAGTATATAGCTAATGAACTGAAAACTGAATGGTTGTACGTTCAAATATTTGCACAGGAGCTTTGACCACAGGCAACACTGAAAATCTGGAGAACTGACAGACAACCTATGCTCTGCAACTAACTTGTTCTGTGACCTAAAGCAAGTCATGGAGCCTTTCAAGGCCTCCATTTCTACTAAAACCTTGTGGCTCTACAGCTGTTACCCTCTTGTTCTGTGTGGTCATGTCACCGTGGTCTCATTTGCTGACAGCATAGTGCTGACGGGACAAGTGACATGGGTGTGAGCCCCAAGTAAATAATCATAAGTAGCTTTGCTTTATGCTTTGGCTACACTTGTTCCAAACTTGGACTTGAGAGGTCTTTTACATGCGTGTCACTGGTTACATGCCATATAATTAAGAGCCCTCAACTCTTCAGTGAGTAAGAGAAACATCCTACTTATGACAGCTCAGTATGGATTTTATTTTTATTTTTTATTTATCTTTTTTTTAATTAGCAACATAATAGACATTTAAACCCCTCATAAAGTGATATCCCACCCTTCCAGCTACTACCCCTCTGACATAGTATCTAGCTGTTACAATACCATAGATTATCTTCCCTATGTTGTACTCCACATCCTGTGACTATATATACTTATATATTTAGTTACAGTTGACATTCAGTATTATTCTACTTCAGTTTCAGGTGTTTAACACATTGGTCAGACATCTACAGAGTCTATGACGTGATCCCTCTGATAAGTCCAGTGCTCATCTGGCACCTTACATGATCTTTACAACATTGTTGATTATATTCCCCATACTGTATTAACTACCAATTTGTATTTCTTAATGCCTTCACCTTTTTCACCCTGTCCCCAACCCCATTCCCACTATCATCCTGATCTAGTACCTATCTGGCACTATACCTAGTTATCACAATATTAGTATATTCCTTATGCTATACCGTACATCCCCATGACTACTGTATAACCAATTTTGGTCCCTTCTTGATCCCTTCCCTTTTAACCCATCCTTACTCCCCTTCCCATCTTAAAGAAGACCCTCTAAGATTCCTTATAATACTGGTTTGGTGGAGATGAACTCCAGCTTTTTCTTGTCT